ATGCAAGGCCAACTTTGGCCCTTCTGTATATTAAGTTTTCTTTTGTAAAGTGAAGTATCGTTAACAGAAAAGAGAAAGCCATGGATAGTTAACTATACATAAAGACTTCAGAAATTAGAACCACTGTGTAAAAGAAACACCTAAATATTCTGTTTGAACATCAATTCTAATAAGTTTTCTTCTCTAATTAGAAAAAATACTTGGTGTTGGTGAATGGCCAGCTCTTAGTTTGCCTGTATCAAATAACTAGCTTGGATTTTTGGCTTTGGGTCAATAATTGCTGTTCTGTACAAGCTAAATAGTTGCTAAGAAAGAATGAGGCTCTTAACTGTTTAGACGACCTACCCATGACTACACAGTTGCTCCCAGCATCCTTGTGGGATTCCACAGACACATAGTTGTCCTCATTTGTAAATTTCCTAAAATAGTGGTGAGAAACCTCATTTTTATGAAACATCATCTCTGTTTCTCAGTGCAAAAAAAATGATTGTACATGGTGCCTCTTCCCTAGAAGAGCATAAGCAATTCCCCTGTGACATGCTAAGGATATAGACTCAAAGGTAGTGAATACCACTGTGTATAAATTGCAAATTTTACTCAGTCTTGTACAGTGAAAATGCTCTAAACATCGGTCTTTTCTATTTTTACTTATTTTTCATTGAGGTATAATTGACATGTAACATCATATCAGTTTCAGGTGTGTAACACAGTGATTTAATATACATATATATTGCACAGTGGGCCTTCCAGGAATGGGGGCAGCACGTGGAAATGTGCAGAGAAATGAGAATATGTTGCTTTGAGAGGACAAGTAATTGATAAAGTTGGAGTATTATGTACATGGGCAGGAAATAAGTGATGATACGTGTGGAGTTGGGTGGTGTGGGGAAAAAGTAGAAGAGGTCTTCCAAGAGTATCTTCCAAGTCTTTGTAAACCATAGTAAGGCATTTGGACTTTATCTTTCATGTGTTGAGAGAACAACTGAGGGATTTTAACCAGAGTAGAAGAATAATGGGATGCAGGTTTTTGAATGAGCCTTACAGATCATGGATTTTAGGGCAAAGGAGATGAAGCAAGCCTCAAGGCAGTGAGATCAGCTGTAAGACATCTGTAATAATCCACAGAAGAACTGCCAGGACTAGAAGACTGACCTTCTCATGTTGATTAAAAGGATCTGCAAAAATGACTCTTCTTACTTAACAGACTCTAACATTGAGCAATAATGTAGTTTATGAAGGTCAGGAAAAGACATTGTTGGTATTTATTCTACCCTTTATATGCTTGCATACATATTTAGAGTTATATGAAGGTGCCCTTAAACTTGTCACAACTAATGGGTATAGTCATACAATAGCTTCCAAATGAGGATGGATAAGAATATGTAATAGCATGAAAATTGGTCATAAAATTGTGTGGAAAGCATAGTATAAAGAAATATGTAGAGTACAGTTTGTATTTGTACATGAAAAGAAACTATTTTGAAAGGTGCAAAACTAATGTAAGTGATCACTTCTAGGCAGGTAGTTGAGACAGGCCTGTGGGCAACAACTTTATGTGCATTGTTCAAAATTTTTATAAGAATATGATCAGATATTGCATATATATTTTTAACAAGGCAAAGACTAAATGCACATAAACCATAATGTCAAGAGTAGTTATATTCAGAGATGAGATTTGGGTTGCTTTTTATTTTCTTCTTTTTGCTTTTCTCTACTTCCTAAATTTAAAATTGGGCATTCCTATTGGCATGGTAACACACAAAAAAATGTAACTTATTAGGCTTAAACTATAACCCTCTTGTGAAAGGATAAAAGTATAAACTATATCGAGCACATAGCAGTCACTTACTTAATGTCAACGTAACATTGGTGCTCAGTTACCTGCAAATGACAGTGTAAAAAATTATCGTGTTCTTGAATCTCTAGCCCCATCAGTGAGCTGAAAGCTACTAAAGGGGTACTGATATTGACTTACCTATTGAAAAAAGAAGGAAAGTCATCGCTAATCAAAGAGAAGCCAAGAATCAGAGTTGGAATTTAGCATGGCTCTTCCAAGAGCACCTCTGGGCTAAACTCACCCAGTCCCAGTGGAGCAGGAGATTTTAGGCCTGTAGCCACAGCTACATCATTTTGGAATCGTTCATCTTCTTCTCCCAACTGATTCTGTGTTCACTAAACAAGCAACCTTCCAATTATAATTTGGCTTTCTGTATGAAATTCTCTCTAAGAAGTCCGTGAGCCTGGACCCACAATGTTCCTATTTTGACTGTACGTGGAGAACAAACAGGAGTCTCCCTTAGCTTTCTGAGTATGTGTCTATCTCTAAAAGGCTGAGAAAATGATCAAATCTGGAAGGTTCTGAATTCACACAGGTAACTTGTCCCAGGCTCTCACTGGTGACCTCTCACCTTACTTTCCCCTGATGAAACCCACCTACATGTGGGCTGCCTGCAACCTGAAATGTAAATCCACATTTAAAAAAATCTACAATTCTTGGGGTGCCTGGATGGCTTAGTTGGTTAAGCATCCTACTTTAGCTCAGGTCGTGATCTCACAATTCATCAGTTTGAGCCCCGTGTCAGGCTCTGTGCTGCAGCTCAGAGCCTGGAGCCTGCTTCAGATTCTCTCTCTCCTTCTCTCCCTGTTCCTCCCCTGCTTACCCTCTGTCTTTCTCTCTCTCCTCAAAAATAAATAAAACATTTAAAAAATTCTATAATTCTTTATTACCAGTGATTTTTAGTCTGCCTCTCAGAGTTTTAAATTCCAAGCTTATATATGAAAATTTATCTTTAGAAGCTTCCTTCAACCTACTATTAACTACAGGTTCTACTAAGTATTGAAAACAACAAAATTTGAGTAGGGCTTAATTGTATATTTTGCTCTAACTCAAAAATCTCTGCAGAATATCTGTAAAATGTTTTGACATAAACATAAAATATTACTGTTATTTGCTAAAACTAGTATCAACTCATAAAATAATAAGGGGACCTTTACATATACTTAGGTGCAAACACAAGTCAAATATATATATAGTCAAATATTTCTATATATATATATTCTATATACATAGAAATATTTTTGAAATATATTTGAAATATATATATATTGAAAAAATTTTGGTTTTTCATATGAAAAAATAAATTCCAAATATTGGTCTGTATTATTTCCTTTTTCTTAAATGTTGATTTTGAGAGAGGGAGAAAATGTGACTGGGGTAAGGGCAAAGAGAAAAAAGGAGAATGCCAAGCAGGTTCTGTGCTGATGCACAGATGCCCGATGCAGGATGAATCTCACAAACCACAAGATCATGACCTGAGCCGAAATCAAGAGTCAGATGTTTAACCAACTAAGCCACCCAGGTGCCTCTCTGTATTATTTCTGTTTAATAATAATGTAACATTTGTTCAGAGCTGGCCTAAGTCCCAGTAGTGTCTCCCTCATACAAAAATATTAACTAAATTGTGAGTGGTTAAGATTCATAAATAAGACTCAGGTACATAAGTGGTAATATACACGGATATGAAAAGAATATTCCTAGGTAGTTTTGATGAATGAGAACTGAGGAACCATGTTAGGTAGAGTTAAAAAGAGGGCAGAGTGTCAACTAGAGAAGACCTTGAATATCAAATCGACGCTACTGACAACTTGAGTTTAGCTATTCTGAGCCCTGAGGAACCATTGAAGGACTTGAGCAAGCTTGCATTTGTTCAGACTGCCCAGATGGATACAAAAACAACATACAGGGTCAGTAGGAAATGACCAGACATCAGAGAACTAACTACATTAGGCATTGGTTGTGATTTATCCACTAGTTTTTGAATTCTAGACCAGTATTCTTCAATCTGCAAAGAGAAATATGTGATACTAATTGAGAACATTAATTCCCAGGCCTAGTGACAAGGACTTTTTCACAAATAACCAGATGATTTTTTGTATGTACAACTGTTGTACAACTGTTGAAGAGTTTAAATTAAACTGATTTAGTTTAATTTAAATTTTATGTAAGAAATGTTTCTAGAGAATAAGGTAGGTTTGGTTCTTTGAAAAATGCCATATTTGAAGTTAAACATTTGACAGTTTGAACTTAATTTTATGGATTCTCCTAGAATATAAGCGCCTTAAGGACATGGCCCTTTGATATATCTTAAGTGCTTAGAATAAGTGTGCTCAACAAACATTTGTTTAGGGAATGCATAATGAATGATTAAGAACTTGGATTTTAAAGTCAAAAATAGCCAGATTCCAGCTTATCTATCTTCTCTAAATCTTGACGTGGAAAATTAGTATATTGATGCTTAGATCACAGATTTAATATAAAATAAAATTAAATAATAAATGGAAAGCATTTAGCAGATTGTTTGGCACAGAGCAAGTCCTCAATCAATGAGAATTATTATTAGCATTGCTGTTAAGAATAATGTTTACACATTATCACTATTCAATATTAACGTAGGTATATGCTGTAATGACATCCTATAAGCCATTTTTTCTTTGGAGATTAATACCTGTGGTAATAAAATAAACCCATTTTCTTTTTGTGGATCCTGCACTATCAGAACCATATGAGTTTGAGTACACTTTGTGAAAGAAACATCAAGCACACAAGCCATGGAGAATTTTGCTGTGATTTGGAGTCTTTTCTTCCTTTTTTCTTGCTTGCTTGCTTGCTTGCTTTTCCTTCTCTTTCTTTCTTTCTTTCTTTCTTTCTTTCTTTCTTTCTTTCTTTCTTTCTTTCTTTCTTTCCCCCTCCTTCCCCTTTCTTCGCCCTTCTCTCTCTCTGTCTCTCTCTCTGTCTCTCTCCTCTCTCTCTGTCTTTCTCTCTTTCTGTGTCCTAACTTGGGTCTTCCAGTAGTTTGTTAGAAGGGCTGAGTGCAAAGAAGGGAGGAAATAAATAAAAAAGGCAAACTTTCAATAAACTGGTCTTATGGGTTCTGTTACTCTGTTGAATAGCTTATTCCACCACCACCCCCCGCCCCCGCTCTTTTTTTTTTTAATTTCAGGTTGTATTTAAAAGGTCACACCGGGACAGCAGGAAAACAGAGCAGCCTGATCTTACACGGTGCTGATTTCAGCACTAAAGATGCAGATAATGACAACTGTATGTGCAAATGTGCCCTCATGCTAACAGGAGGTAAGTCCTGTGGGGCTGTTCTCTAAGTTATGTTTCATTGGTCTGAGGCTTGAAGTTTCTTATCTATGAGAAAAGACTGTGATCTTCTTGTCATAAAACTTAAGAGCAACTTAGAGATCATTTTGTTCAGCATACAGGGGAAAGCCAACAAAAAAAAACAAACAAAACCAAACCCCACCTTCTTACTAAGTATTTTGCAACAATGTAGTACAGTTGATTGACCATGCTATTGAAATGAAATAAGAAGAATAAAGATATGTAGTGAGATCTGAAGTTAAAAAATTCAGACCACCTACACTACCACTTTGCATTGTATGGTATTGACTTCTGCAAGACATTTGAGCTGGTATAAGAGATACAATTAAATAATACTCTATCACTGAGTAAGAAAATTAAATCCTTTTTTAACCTTTTCAGTATCTTTCAACCTTCTGATTGTGTCAGAGAGAAGTTCTCAGTTTGGTGCTAGCATATCTATAACACTTCCTAAGCATTACTCGATAATCACTCAATAATCCTCATAGCAAAGGAGAAAACCCTCTGGTCTCAGGCTCAGGGCATTGGTTAGACAATGGAACCTATCTAGAAGTAAATAAAGTGATCTTGTTTTAATTGTATTGGGTTTTATATCTACCTTTTATTATAACAAGTGATACTGTTTTCTTCTTTATTTTATTTTATTTTTTTACAAATAGTTTATTGTCAAATTAGTTTCCACATAACACCCAGTGCTCATCCCCACAAGTGCCCTCCTCCATGCCCATCCCTCCTCCCCCCCACATCCATCAGTCCTCAGTTTTTGTCAGCATTCAAGAGTCTCTCATGGTTTGCCTCTCTCCCTTTCCCCCACTGTTTTCTTCTTTAAAGGAATTATATAATCTTTGCATTTTTAGTATTCACAATATTTGATATATAACAAATTATCGATTTAAAGAAAAAATTAATTAAATATTAATAAGTTATAAATAGATGATGGCAGAAATCTGTGAAGTTGATGCATGACTGATTGAAGTGTGAGAAACATGAAGCTGAAACCCAATGACAAGCAAGGTAGCTCAAGCTAAGTTATAGGCTCTTGCATGGAAGGAGTTAGTACCGAGCAAATTTGTAAAGGCAAACTTTTTTTCCAGGGCTTCTCTTCTCACAGTTTTTGTGTTCTTCCTCTCTGTGAATGGAGTAGCAGCCACTCCAACCATCAGCTTTTCTGATTCTCTTTCTGTGTTAATCTACAACAAACCATGTTTTCATTGACAGTAAGAAAAAGAAATCCTCAAACTCCAGTATTTTCCTTCCCAAAGTGGCATTACTACCATGATTATTATATATTATTATATGGTCTTGCATAGGTTATACTATCTTACTTGAGCTCCACACCAGCTCTGTGAGATAAGCAGGGAGAGAAACTCTATCTCCACTTTCCACATAAGGAAAATAAAAACAAGCTAATGCCACCATTTTATATGTAACATCCAGCACACTAGATGTGGCACATAGAAACTCAATTAAAAATATGAATGAATGAACATTTTGTAACCCTTGAAATCATTTTCAAATTTTGAAGGCAGTGAAATGAAGTTGACAGTTTCTCATCAGAAACAGCATGGAAGAACATGAAGGGATGGTTTTGAAGAAATTTTCATCTCTATCCCCGTGTCCTCCATGTTTACCACCACCAAATCACATCCCATTGACCACCCCCCTCCACACTTAAATTAACATCTTTTTGACGTGAGACCAACTCTAGTATTATCAAAGCTAACCTGTTATGATTCTTCTTCTATCATATCTTCCTCCTTAAATTTTAAAATGCTATTTTGACATCATATTCAACCACATCAAATAGGTAAAAATCCTCTACACATAACTCCATGACCCCGTCCCCAAAACAGTTGTTACAGATTTATAATGGTATCCACAGGTTAGGTTTTAAACCTTTTTTCCTGAAAGAAAAGTTTTTTTCATTACTTCCCTGATCCCATAAATGGAATGGTCAGCAACTTTCTACAGAGACAAAAGGACTTTGATTGTCTAGTTTGCTGTTCATTTTAATATTGAAATGTGCTTCATAATCTCCATGTATATTTTTATAGATAGCTTTTCTTACCAAATAAATGCAATGCATGAAAGACCAACAGTAAAATCTTTCAAATGTTGCCTGAGAAGAGCATTCCAGTATGTTCATATTTCTGTCATAATAATGAAAGTATAGAGGAAAATGCACCTCTTAGTTTTTGGTGAGAAAATTTCATTGCTCAGATTTATGATTTTATTTCTGCCTCAAACGATTGAACTTTTTCATGTTCTTTCATCCATAATCATTCCTGGACCTGCTTCTTACTCACCAATAAACACATATGTTGGGGAGAGAAAATTTCCACTTATTGCTTGGGCTGGAATAGTCTAACTAAATGTGTTTTTGTAATAAACGCCATTACCCTATCAAATATCCTTTTGAAAGAATCCAGGCCTTGTAAACCTATTCACTCTGCAAAGCTAAAATGTGGAATTCAGATAGCTAAGAACTGGAGAACATTAGGATGAATGTCAATGACAGTTCAGGTAACTTGAGTATTGCCTGGAAATTTAGGTCCTAGTTAGCTACTCCTCACTACCAATATTTATTCCGTCATAGTTTCCCTTAGAACCATTTGCTTCATCTAATGATTTTTCCTTTCTTTTTTAATTTGTATTTGAACTCACTGCCTATTTTAAATAGTTTCCTTTAAGCAATAAGGTTTTATAGTCTTTGAAGCTAATAATTCATAGTTTTCTGTCACCATCAATTAAAGTTTTATTTTATCTTGTTTATTTACAGAATTTTTCCTTTGTTTCTTCTGAAAGAAATTAAGGGTAAAGTAAGATTTATTGCCCACTCACTGTCCTAAATAGTTTTGTGCAAGTACATGGAGGGATTTGGGTTGGAGAATGTGGTATCATTGCCACTCTTATCTGTCAGAGATTGAACAACAGGAGATGAGCTTAATTGAAAGCAGAAGGTATTTCAGCTAGGCATAAGGTAGAACATTTTGATCTTTCTCCTTTCCCAGCATCTTAACTTCTTAACTTCCTTCTATCGATTTAACATAGTTTTAACAATTAACTATTACAGATCAACTATTCTTAGAGAAATGAGCAAGACAGACTAGAATTTGCATCCATCAACAAAAGAGTAAACAACAAATAACATAATTTCAAATCATAACCAGTCTTAGAGGCAAAATATAACATGTGATAGAGTTGTTGAAGAATGGGGAAGTAACTTTAGATGGAGTGCCCAGGGATCAAATACTGCCAGGAAGAGTTGTTCATTTCTAGCAGTGGACATCTTCAAGAAGAGGATATAAAGCTATTTTATCGAAAAGAGCTTACTTATGCATGTTCCTGCAGTTGAGGGTCTAGACAAGAAAGTCTCTCACATTTTCTTCTGGTTCCGTTATTCTGATATTCCATGTACTCATTGTGGCTAAAGTAAGGAAAAACATGTAATATTATTTTTCAATGCATGGGTTGTAATTCATAGTACATTGTGAGAGGAAAGGAGGTGTAATGGGCTGAGAAAAGCACATTTACATCAATAGAAATAGATACCACAATGCTTTATACTTCCTTTCTCAGAAGTATATGTACTTATTCCTACCTTACCAGAAAGCCAACACTTTTTCCATCCAGTTTAAATATTGAAAAATGTTCATGTTTTTTACATATTTCTTCTGGACCAGAACATGTATTTCAAGGTCCAAATTGCCACATACAGCTTTTGTGCCACTATGTCTTTAATCAATAGTTAAATAAGGGTGATTTGTCAGCCCAGACTTATAAGCCAGAAATGTCTTTGTTCTTTGATGCAACTGACCTTAGGAAAATTTGTAAGTTTTCTCCTTAGGTTTCCTTCTATATATAGGAGATATATATATATATGATTTTGTGAAAAATCCATATACTTCAGTAGTGGGAGGGACATAGTTAAGAGATTATTGTAGGCAATATTTTTACTCCTGTGGGATAGTCCCTATTGTACCTTCCTGAGCCCAAAGAAAGGAATCAATTTATTTTAAACTTAAAAGTTTTATCTACTACTTAACATTAAGAAAATGCAAATGTAATCTCTTTCAATGCACACTTTTGTTTAGAGGCATTTATGGTATATAAAAACAAATATGCAAATATCCTCTGACTCCAAAATTCTGGAAAAAGAACAACTTAGATTGTCACATTCAAAGCAAATGCTACATTTCAAGAAAACAGGGTCTTTGGTACTAAATTAGCATTCTTCAAATAGTCTTTCTGAAAGTTTATCAGAAACTAAAATTACTAAAGTTTGTTGACAAAACAAAACATGGTATTATTCTACATTCCATTCCTCACCTTACTTTTTTTTCAACACAGTTTTCATATTTAGTGTATAATATAAAAGCTATGTAAAAATCTGACCTAACGGTCTGGAGAAAGAATCTGTTGTGGTAGAAACTCTGATCTCTTTTCCCACGCATAAACTATGTCAGTCGACAGACAAGACTTCGCTAAAGCTAACAAAGGATATTTCTCAGTTCAGCCCTAAAAGACAGAATAAAGCCATAGACATAAATTTCTTAGTACACCCTACAACAGATGCTAACAGCAGAGAGTTGATAAATGCTTGCAGAAGAGAGTTGATATTGCCTGCTATATAATCTTAAAGAAGACAAAGAAAATGAAAGAAATTAGCAGCTTCTTTAACTGGTGAATGATGTTGAGTGACATGATCTTTGGGAAAATATAATCACCTTAGAGTTTTTAATAATCCAGGAAGGATGTGCTAATCATTGCCAGATAACTGGCATTTCCTAGGTTTAAAGGCAAAAATGTTGAGAGAATAGATACATATAGATAATTTAAGGTTAACTGCCAAAATCTACTTTGCATTACTTTATTTCAAAGCAGTTTCTTATTTGTACGTATTCAGTCAGCCTGTTCCACAAAAGTGTGTGTTGCAGAGATTTTGTGCTGTCCACTACTATCTC